TAAATAACGTTTTTAGGCATACGTACAAAGTTGTCTATTAATTTGATATTCTTATCCATATTTCGCAGGTGTGGATGTAGTCTTACTCTCACATGCGGAACGCTAAATATTTTTGTTGACTTTATTCTCTGCTCTGCACATATCTCAATGTCCATACAGTTTGTTTCGCGGTTCTATTTTGCGAAGGATATCACATCTACGGACGAAGGGATGGATATCAAAAGTTTAACTGAAGATGCAAAATCAGACACGACAGCAGAACGTTTTGACTTACAGGCGAGTCTTAAGTGTTTTTATTTCACAGCACATTTATATTCGTGTACATGTTACCTATAGATAGGCATTTTTTCCAAGCATACGTATTAACGGTGCAAGTAAAATAGTCGTGCTACAGATGTCTAATTGTTTTCTTTTTAACAAGCATACATCGCCGTTGATCCAGCAACGTTGTCAACGGTTTTAGCTTTAGTTGTCTTGACTGTGTTAACTCTATGCAATAAAAGCAAGTCAAGTTTTGGGATTTCCCTCGTTAATTTTGGCTTACATGGTTTTCGAGCAAGCGCATAAGTCGGTGTGGTATTGTATGCTACCATGCTTGTTGAGTATCTCTAGAAAACTTGCTTATCGCCATCAATGTATAAGCAGTACTTCGTCATGAAAATTTTGGCGCAACAACTTTTAAATAAAGCATACCGAAAAAAAATATTTATCAGGCAATCATTGGAGGAAGGCAAGAATCGAATATAACATGAGCAGCTAGTAACACAAAGGGCGAGGTTAACGTGTCAATAAAGTTTGTATGGCTACGTGGGTGATGAACTGGATAATCCGAGTGATGATTGTATGCGTGGCAAGATGTATGATATTAAATTCACACATATCTAAGGTTCATCGTGTCACCCTGGCTATCGATGATGTACTTGTACTTGCAGTAGTCCATGCTGTTTACGACGCATAAATTTTCTAGGTAGTGTACATTCAGACATGACCATGGATGATCTCTATCCTCTATATTAGGGAAAACGATGTACAATAACATATGCATGTATTTTTCAGGCCATAATAACCGCACATGTGTTTTATTCACATTCATGTTTTAATTTTTGGTTTTAAATATACAGGCTTTGTGGACCCGTGTCCAAGATGAAAAGGATACTACCGCTACACTCGGCGCACCAGAAGCGAGTGCGTTGGGTGAAATGATAGGCCAGAGGCTTATTCAGCACCTAGCATTGAATCTGACGTTTAAAGAGGTATCTTCTTAATATATATTTCTATAAACATTCTT